AAAAGCAAATGAAGAAACATCAGAGGAACCACTTCACTACAAATGCACACATTTAACAAATGGAAGCTCTTCTTTTTTTTTTAGCTAAGTAAATCCAATACACTGTAACTCTGACATGTCAACCGTGGAAATTTTGACCATTTTCACCTTTCCGAACTAATGCTCGAGGCTTTCTTATGCTTCCCACGACGTTCTTTGACATCTTTTAGCTTCTCAATCTTCACATTCTCGTTGTTAGACTTCGACACAGATCCTTCTTGAGCACTGCACATTTGATGCGACTTCAGCTTAATACCAAACCCGAGTTTCTTGGAAACGTTCTCCCACGTTTTGCTACCGCCTCCACCGCTTCCAGAACCACCACCACCCTTTGTCGTCTTCCCGAGTTTCTCAATCTCCTGTCTCATATTCGAACATTCTTTCTCCAACTCGCAAACACGCATTCTCATACTGTCCATTCCAACTTTCAGGACTTGGTTCTCTCTTACTGCGGTTGCCCATCCTCCACCTCCTCCTTCATTTGATCCTCCTGCAAATCCTCCGCTTCTTAGCTGTCTTGACCCGCCATCGAGGTTGTCTGAAACCAAGAAACATCCAGCAACAGAGGTTCTGAGCTGAAGCTGCTCAAAGAAGAGGACCTGGACGATTATTCTTAGAGGTAATCTCTCGTTCTGTGCCGCGTGTGTGCAAGCTTCTAAAGAGAGCTTCTGGCAATCTAACAACCTGCAAAGATTCTCTCTTTCTGTTTCCGCTAACCAAGGATGATGCTGCAAATCATCATAAGAAGGAAAGATTAAGCAGATATTCAAGAAGATTGATGGGGTTTGTTTGTAGGGTCTTACCTTAAGATAAATGTCTATTGCGCGATAGAGTCCATCGTCTAAGAGTCTTGCATATTCAGGAACAGAGGCGGCTAAAGCTTGGAACTTTGGAAGCTTGAGATTGACATCAGGAGCAACTTCAGCAAGATACCCATCGATGAGCTTTGCAACGGCCGTCATTGGTGTTATCGACTGTGGTGATCCAATCAAATTCACATCATCTACTGAAGAACACGGAGAGCCAACCCCAACGGGCATAATCTGATCCATCCCAAGAAAATGGTCCAAGATCCTTTGCACAGAGTCGACGTCGTATAAAGTCTCCATTGTATGAGAAAAGCTAGGCATTACAAGATCTTCCAACGCCGCCTGGTCAAGCTGCATCCCTATCCTCTTCTCTAAATTCGCTATGCAAGCCGGACTAGCTTTCAAAATCTTGGCGATACGAAGCATGTCGACGAAGAACTTGGTCGGAACTAAACCTTTTTGCATACGGAGAAGCTCCTGGATCTCTTCAAGCAAGTTCTTCTGCTCTTCCTCAGACAGTACATTCCCCGAGCCCAACGGTGTGCTGAAACGACCACTAGATTCAGGTCCACCACGTCGTCTTTTCAAGCCAGGCAAGTATTTTCTCGTGTAATAAGTAAGCGAACCGGCAATGATGTCTTCTCTTATGCCCCGGGAATCCATGACTGTGATAAGTCTCTTGAAAAGAGGAAAACTAAGCATGGACGCATCCTCGTACCACCAGTCTGAGCTAGTATGTTTAGGTCTAGCTCCGGTGCTTATCCCGTTCCATAAAACGCTGCCACCTGGACTCTGCATGGGCCCACCATGCTCCACAACTGGCCATCCAAACAAGTTTGGGTCTGTCGATGCTCTCATGGCTAATGACTCGATACATTTCTTGGTAATGTTCAGTTCATCAGCATACTCGAGGACCTCGTCGCAGCTTTGAAGCGCTTTGATTGAATCTTTCCAGCTTTTGAGGACCACTTGGTTGAAAAACGTTTCGGATTGAGAAATGAGATTTGCTTCCCCATACTCTTCAGTCATCTCGAGATGCTCAGCAGCACATCTGAGATATACAACGTTGGAAGCGGTGAGTTCGAGCTTCACACCGTAGCAGAATTTGGCGACTAGTTCAAAGGTTTTATCTCCGCCTGGAAGATCAGGAATCTCAATGAGACATTTATCATCCCCTTCTTTTGATGCCTCTGCAATCCTTCTTTCCATGACTCCACTTCTAGAGAGCAAGGGAAACTGCAGATAGCAAAAAATAAAAATGTTATAGGAAATTGCAAATGTTGGAACAGGAAAACACAAACCAACACACATCTTCGATAAATAGCAGTCATTCGAGATTTCTACAATGCCGGAGAAGAGCATAACATTCTACAAGACGATGATTGTTCCAGATAAAGGCAATATAACACTGTGTTTCAAGAAAGAGAGTGTTGTCTTGTTCAAGTTAATCAAATTTACCTTGTGGAGATGGAAAGACATCTCTCCAACTTCAACGACGATATCACTTGGAAGTCCAGTTGTGCAAAACCTGCAATTAGCACAACCAAAGAAGATCAAATTCAGTCAAAGGAATGAGCTTTGACTAAGTAATACTGAGATTGCCTTAAAGACCAAAGGTCTCAAATTCAGCCATTAGAAAGGAGAAAAAACAAGAAGAATCACAAACTTGGAACAAAAATACGAGAGATCAAGTGAATATACCAAGCCTGGCCTTGTCTCTGGAAAGCATCAGATTTGGATCCAAGCTTCATGCAGGCCATACTTTCTCTTACCAGAATTCAACGAAGAAACTATGATATTTGAGCTTCCAAAACCCCAAAAAAACCTCCACCAAAATCCAAACCCTAACGTACAGCAACCAAACAAGAAACTGCTAATTTCTCAGAAAGAAAGAGACTTTGGATCCATCCCTTAGTACCCAGATCGATTAAGAACTTAAAACAGATCAATTTCACTCAGACATTTTAACAAACACGTAAGCTGCCTCTTTTCTCCACATTCAGTAACAGAAACTCAGCAGCTCACAATAATCTTCCAGAAATTAAACCTAAACCCTCAAATAATCACACCGATGTGAAACAGATCCCTTGACCAAAACCCACTAAAGAAACCAAGAATCTCAAATAACCTTATCTGCAACACCAAATTCAAACCTTTTTCCCCAACAAAAAAAAGAAAAGAAAAGAAAGAAGCCGAACCCCTAAAAACCCAGCTAGACAAGAACAGCTAAGCAGAAGAAGTTACCAGCTCTCTCGTACCCTTTATACGAGAATATACAATGTTAGGGGACCATATAGCTAAGCCAACATTAATTTTTTTTTTTATTAAAACAAAAAGGCAAACTTGTGGTCTTGTAAGAGGAAAAAAATAAATAAATGCAAGAAAATAAAAATGGAGTTAATTGATAGTTTCTGTATTGGTTGCTTGAGGAATTTAGAAATTTTTTTAATCCATAGTGAAATAAAAGGAAAGAGATGATGGACAATTGAAAATCTCGAGATTTGGGAGAGATTAATGAGGGAGTTAAAGGTTTTTGATGAACACATGCACGCATGTGGGGTCCTTTGTATCTTCAAACATACTCATTGTGTTTGATTCTCGATATTAGCAAACACTTTAATCTCAAAATTGTGGGGTTTAATTTTGTCCTAATCTCTCTACTCAAAGAATCCAACCCTTCCCACTAATCTTTGGCGTGCGAGTGCGGTAATAATGTATTCACTCTCCGCCTCAAATTTTTGAAAGAGACCAAACAAATTTTAGTTATGTTTTTGTCCATACAATTATGTAGTCATGCGGATTTTTTGTAATATTAAGTATTTTGGATATTTCTTTCAGTGCTTAACAGATCAAACTGTAAAATATTTAATGAAATTATACGCTTCTGTACCCGTATAAATATAACGACAACTTTTTATCAGTTACAACACAAACTCACATTACTTAACTTAGGATTCAAGTTCATAGTTATTTACGTTTTGTTGCCAAAACCTATACTCAGTAAAACATAGCGATAAATTTCTATCAAAACTATAATAAAATATCATTCATTTTGTTTTACACTTTTCGAAGACGCTACCTTGATAATATTCCATGATTCATCTTGTCGACTTGTCCTAGTCACGAAAGGAGTGAGTGTAACATTATGAGTGATTTTTCTAATAGTTTTGCACATTGTATATGTATATATGTCGTCTAAGTGATCTTGAAACAGTTTTACTGTAGTTTGAGAATTCGTCTTGCTGAGAATAATTAAGAATCAAATTAAATTCTCTGCGGAATGTCATGCTACGATTGATAAACTATAACTACATATATATTTATCAAAAGATCAGGATATACTATATTTATTATTTACATACATATAGACAGAAATATATATGTCTAAATACATTTCAAAACCAATAATGCAAACTTCGCCAAGTCATGAAAGACATGTTATTACAAAATATTCTTCTATTATTAGTGATGGAATGTGATTTGTCCGTACTATCTATCTAAGCATGTGGTTGAAGCTTCGTTGTCCGACGAAGATTTGTATTGTTCAAAGCTGACATGGCCATAAACTTTCACATCCAATAGACCCGACCAGTGTTAACTGTTAATTAGTTAACTGAAAATATCTAATAAAACTCTGTTTGTTTGTTTAGATATTTAGGATTGTGAAAGAAGGAGAGATGTGAGACTTGGGGAACAAATATGATTGTCATTTGAAAAGAAATGCTTTGTTGATTTTGGAATTAGTTTTGACATGCCACTCACAGCTTTTGAATGTTTCAAGGAGCGAAATTAATCAAAAATCTGTAAGAAATAAAAAAGACGAATAAGAAAATTGGGACTCAAAAATTCAGATTTTCAGACATTAATTATGACTAACTCATGGCTCAAAATAATGAGCAGAAGTAACAAAAAATACCTTCCCTCTCCTCCCAAACACTCTCCTACTCTGATACTTCTTCCTCTGATACTTCTTCCTCAAGAAAGCCCCCTGACCCTCTAGTTCTGTCGATTACAGAAGATGAGGGAACAGAAAGACCTTGAAGATCTTGAAGTGAGTATCATGACGTTATTGTTAAGGCACTCGAGACAACATGGTTACACAACTCACAAAGTTGACTACATGTAATCTTATTTTAGAGTTAAGAAAACTAGTTTCATAAAAAAAGGTATCATCATTTGATTGAGGCATAAATTATACAACTAAATAAAACGAAACCCCATAATACAAGTTGTCATAGAACACACGAAATATATAGAAGTTCGGTCGGTAAACAAGTAGCAGCAACGGCGAAACAAACACACTATTGGCTGTGGCTGTGGTTGTGGTTGTTCATTATTGCTTGATCTTCAAGGGACTGTCTTAATAAGGCCGTGTTTGATAAGGAAGTCTACACAACATCAAGAACAAAAAAAAATAACCCAAAAAAATTAAAAGAGAAGTAAATTTCTTATGAAGATTCCAATAAAAAAGAAACTATTTATGTACCTCGGGAGAATCCTCTGTGAAAGAAGCGTTCGAGTTCCGAACGGCGCTTCATCCAATTACTACGACAACGTTTACAACCATTAAAGTTAGTATAGCCACTGTATCCGTTTCTCCCTTTAGCCATTGTAACCTCAAGTCTCAGCCCTCCCAAGTAACTTCCATCGAGTGTTAACGCCTTCTTGTCATCTTTTCTCATATTAATGAAAGCGAATCTGAAAGAAAAAGAAAAAAGAGAGAAAATCTTTTCGTCTGCATTTAACTTTAGTTGTCAGAAAATTGGAGGAAGAAAGTAACAAACCCCAAGGGAGAACCGGTTTCACACTCAAACGGAACGAAAATCCTTGAGACCTCTCCACAAGAACTGAAGTGGTTTTTCAAAGCGCTCTTGATATCATCAATAGGAAAGAAACAATCGAATCCCTTGACGTAAATGGTTTGCGGGTTTTTCATTTCTGAATCATTACTTTCGAATAAGCACTTATGTTCTACCATCTCTTTCTTTGGAGTTTCTTTCTCCTGCATGCAGACATGGTTGAAATTAAACAAATAGATTAGTTATAGAGTGTTAACGTATCATTCCTCAAACATACAAAACACATACAACAACTATAAACAAACACATAGAACTGCTAATTAAACACGCATACCATATATATTTTTTTTGTTAAAAAAAAACACATACCTTCAGTGAAATCTCCAGTTCATCTGAATTCTTCTTTAGTTTTTTGAGAATTTTAGTCATCTCGTTCAGACAATTACTTAAATCATCTATTTTCTGCCATAGAATTAGGAAAGTCAAAATGAGTAACAAATGCAGAAAAAAAATAATCAAACGCTTTCTTTGTTTTGAAAAATGATTCTTTGCAACTAATGAGAAAAATGTAGAAGATAAACGAATCTGAACTGCGTGCAGCTTCTTAGAAGAAGATTTTCATTTTCATAAAAATTATCTTGTCCAACTCTAAGGAGAAATTTGTTTTTAAGAGGTTACTCGTAATTATCTTAGGGTCGACTAACAAAAAAAACTAATGGCTTTGCTAACCTTTTTCAAGGCAGTCACTTTATCTTGATCACTTTTCTGGAAAACAATATGGTTAATGCCAAAGAATGAAACATAGTCATAAACAGAAAAGTAGATTCAAGGAAGTTTAAGAGGGAGATGACTTACTATTAGGTTTAAAAAGTACAAGTCAAAATAGGTTAAGTTAAAGCTACCTTAAGCTGATGATATATATACAGAGGCTAAATGAATCTTAACCATCATAACAAGTAATTAGAGAACCTTATGCATAATAGCAACTATACAGCTAAGCAAAGTATCAGGACAAATCTTTAGATAAAGTTTAAATATGACCTTCTTCTGCTTCTTCCGCTTCTTCTGCTTCTTAGGCTTTACTAAGGCATCTGAATCCTAGAAAGCTTAGAGTTTGAGAAACAAGGTCGAGTCAAAGTGTAAACAAGAAACCCATAAGAAGAATAAGAAGAAGATTACATCGGATTCCTCGCGCCTCTTCCTCTTATTGTCCATGGAGAAGTTGAGATGGAAAGACAGGAGTGACTGATGGGTATTCGATAGGTTGAGATTGAGAGGCAAAAACCCTAGAGTCTGTTTACTGAGAGTCTGAGTTTAGTTTGAAGGATTAGGATTTGATGAAAGGAGAAAGAGCGACTGCTAGAGTGCTAGGTTATCGATGGAGAAGCAAAAACCCTAGACTGCGTTTGGGCTTCTATTATCCACGATTTTCAAAACGAACTAATTATTAAGTTGTTGACCACACATGCAACCCTAAATATTAAAGACACTTAGGTCGTGATTACTGCTTTGATAAGACATTAAAACAAGATAACAAAAACAATTTAATCTAAAAAATGTGGGGCTTACTTTTGTTCTAATCTCTATACTCAAAGAATCCAATCCCTCCCACTAATCTTTGGCGTGCGAGTGCGGTAATAATGTTGTTCTTCACTCTCCGCCTCAAAATTTTGAAAGACACCAAACAAATTTTAGTTAAGTGTTTTTGTCCATATAATTATGTAGTCATGCAGATTTTTTGTTATGTTAAGAAACCCTTTTATATCGGATATTTTTTTTTGTGATTGTCAGATCAAACTGTAAAATATTTAATGAAATTATAAACTTCTGTACGCTTATATATAACGACAACTTTTTAACAGTTATTAAAACACAAACTCACATTAACTTTTTTTTTGGTCTAAAACTCACATTAATTTTTTTTATAATAAATTTAATTTTCAATTTACAGTTTCTTCTAAACTCACATTAACTTTGGGATTCAAGATCATAGTTATTTATGTTTTATTGCCAAAACCTATACTTAACTAGTAGTAAATCATATAGTGATAATTCCAATCAAAACTATATATAAATATCATTTCAGTTACACAAAAAAAAAACTATATTTGAATACCCATTCATTTTGTTTACACTTTTAGAAGACGCTACCTCGATAATATATATTCCATGAATCATCATGTCGACTTGCTCTAGTCACGAATATAGTGAGTAGTGAGTGTAACATTATGAGTGGTTTTATATGTATATACTAGGGGTTGATTGCAAAATTTTGTATTATATTTGTTAATACATTTAAAAAAAACTCTACAATATCAATTTTTTCATTAGTTTTTGTATTTCAACTTTTATATATATTTATAGTATTTAATAATTTTATATACAACATTTAGAAAATAATCAAATTATATATCAATTAAAATCTCATATCAAATTTAGTTTATAGATATCTTTTATATTTATGTAGATTTATGATTTTCAAATATATACAATTTTTGATTGATGCATTCAGGAAAAATATATATGTAATAGACAATTAATTATTTGAAAATATCTCGATTCTCTAACATATTTCCAAAATTTATTTATAATTTCTCTTTTTTTCTACACCAATTTCTCTCTCCATTTCCCTCTCCTTCTCCTTCTCCATCTCCCTCTCCCTCTCCCTCTTTCTCAGGTTGAAATTTCTATCTTTCTCAGGTTTTTCTTTTTTTTTCTAACCATTTTCAATGTCACCTCTCTAACATGAGCTCTGTATAAATTTTTAAGAGGAGTTTCACCTATTCTATGTTTCAAATATTAACTTAAAAATATGCATTCTCACATCTCTATATTATTAATTAAGTACTCATTTAAAAAATAATTTTTATTTTATAAATTATTACACGCTATGCTATTACAAATAACAAAAATAATTAAAATAAGAAAGAATATAATTGTCACTCGAGCTTTTTGAAACTCGTGCAATTATTCCTTACCCGTTAATATGCATTTAATTTTATAATCTATTATTCTAATTTTGTTTAAATTTATGTCTTTTGTTATATTCTAATATTTTATAACTTTTACAACGAATTTGGATATTTTTAGATATTAAAAATTTTGGATCGGAGAATTTGTTTCTCGAATTTGGCAAAACTGGATCCAAATCCGGCTATCTTAAAATTTTATAGTTTACTATTCATATATATCGAATCATATAAATAAAGTAAATCATTTAAAAATAATAATGAATAAATGCATTAATATATAAATTATTATTATAAAGTAAATCATTCATATTCTTGTTAAATTAATTGATGATAGTTATTATGAGAATTAAAGTATAATAACACAAAATATAATAAATTATAAATTAATAATTGAATTGATGATGTGTCAAAATTTTAGAGTTTGAGAAAATGATGTGGCACCATGAGAAAAGAGAACATTTTACTTTATATATATATATATATATATAGATTTCGTCGAATTAAGTGATCTTATAACGATTTTTCTGTAGTTGAGAATTCGTCTTGCTGGGAAAAATTAGAATCAAATCAAATTCTATGCGGAATCTCTTGCTATTACTGATTAAACATAACTACATATATAATAATAAAGAGATTAGTATATACTCTTATATTTACATATATATATATATATATAAACAATATATATATATATATATATATGTTTAGGAGATTTTCAGTTTTTTTTGTGGGAGCAAGTCTCCTGCAAAACAAATAGCTACGTGAAGGCCAAGAAAATCTGATAGGGTGTGTTTTCCGAAGGCTCTCCGACGCTTAAGTGATTAATTGATTAAGATGACGAGAGTTGGTTAATTATACACATGTCTATTCCAGTTCCATGCAGATTCTAGAAACAGATAAAGATAAATCGCCTGTAGGCTTATTGGAAATGTGGGGATATACAATACAAAAGGTGTTCTCGAATAATTGCATGATGATTTGTGGGGTTCACCAGATGTCACTTCTTTACTGTCTTGGAAACAATAATTCTTATGACAAGACAAGAAAGGTGTGGCTGATGTTTCTAATAACAAAATTATGAAACATTTGAAAGGTTCAAGGAGTGGTAGAAAATGGTGGGAACAAGGCTTGATATTTCCGATGTGATTGGATTGATTAGTAGATTTATGAGTACGAATGGAAATATACATTGGGAAGCAGTCAAGTTGTTGCTCAGAACGTGAATGGATCCTTAGAGCATCTCCAATAGCTGAACCCCTTAAGGAATTCTTATCAATTTTTTATTATCAATTATTAAGTTTAGAACCTAAATTTAGAACTTCAATTTACAACCTCTCCAATGTTTGAACCTTTCAGGGGTTCTTAATTTTGAATTTGAACTTAATAAACTTTGAGGGACACCGATGCATCCCCAGTGTTGCCCTGCCACATAGATTAGTTAATTAACTTCTGAAAGCAGTTTAGGATGATTAATACTTTTCAAACTCAAGAAATAACTAGATTTTAACCCCGTGCGTCCGCACGGAAATGTTTTATTTTTTTTATTTCTAATATAAGTTGTATTTATCTTTTTTGTTTAGATATAATTTATTTTTGTTATTTATTTTTTTTAAATCAAAAAATTGTTATCATATTTTAATTTTAAACAGTAAAATTAGTATATTAGTAGAATAAGAGTATACATTATTTAAGTATACATTGATCTAATGTTAATTATAAACTTTGTTATTATGTGAATTTAGATTTACACATAAACAATCTATATATCTATGAATTTGCTAATCCATCCGTTTAGTTGTCTTAAATCATTTTTAATATCTTACATGTTTTGACAAACTAACCCGTATAAGACTATAATTATAATTGTATAACCCTATAAATATTTACTAATATGGAATATTTGGACCAATTGATTATGAAAAAATATAATAAGATATTTATTTACTATTTGTGCTATTAAAAAAAAAATAATATATATATATATATAAAAACGGGCTAACCTGTTAGTTTAATTGTCTCAAATCATCTTAATATCTTACATGTTTTAATAAATTAACTCATGGACCTTATATATATATATATATATATATATATATAACTCTAATCAGCTCGATCATATTATTGTATAATATAAATATTTATTAATCTCAAATATTTGATATTTTAGACCGATTGTTTATGATAAAATACGATAAAATATTTATTTGCTATGCATTTTTATAAGAATATTATTTAAATTCAAAATTTTAAATAAATCTTTCCTATATTTAAGAAATTCTAAAGTATTAAAATTATTATCTAAATTTTCGTAATTAAATTTAATTATAATTTTTTTTGAATTTTTTGAATTTAAATTAAATTTAATGCAAATTTTTGTAACTAAATTTATTTAAATTTCTAATAATTTAAAATTTAAATTAAAGATGACCTAGATTTTAGGAAATCTAAAAATATCTAAATTAATAACTAATTTTCGGAAATTAAATATAAAAATAAAATAAAATATTATAAAAAAACTTTGGGAGTGTTTGGATGCAAGCACTAAATGTGCTTCTGTTTTAATAGAATAGATGGTACATGTAAGAGAAAAACACTCATCCGATTGCAAAAATCTCAGGGTAAAGAAGAAGAGACACACCTCTGCAGTCTTTCCCTGATATAGCTTGCTCGAAAGAATTCCTTTACTGCTAGCATGTAAGCTCAGGTATTGATTAATCTACAAGACATCAGAACAGAGTGAGTAAACCAGAAACTCTGTAAAGACCACAAAAGCCATACAAATCAAGGTTTTTGGCTCTTAATCATAATAAAATTAAGAAGCTCATAGCCATCACTAGAATCATTTCTCCCAGAGATAGACTCAACATCCAACCCTTCATTAGCCACTGTCAGCTGAAAAATCTCTCATCACCCGGTTATAATAGCTGAAGCGACGACATTTGATGTTGTCTAAAATCAGTCTTCTGCTGAATCATCAAAAACTTAGTCACAATAGACTGCATGAACAGCTGGAATGTGATTGCTAGAAAGAATCTCCTCAATAAGCTAAAACAAAAACAATCATAAACAACCAAAAACATTACGTAGAAGGTAATGCTGATGCAGAACAATACAATGTGATTCTTTCAAGCAATGGGGACACAAATCATTGAGTTTAACACCATAAACAATATGTCTTTAGTCTCTACACAATCCTCTTCTATCATGATCAGATTCTCTATAAAGAACATAAAAGAAGAAACTTTAAGATACTCACAGGAATGATGGTGTCTCGAAAACGTTAAAAATGGTTATCCAAATGGTATTCAATATAGAAAACGTAATCCATCAGCTTAATCTCGACAATTTCACTGATTCAGCGGGAGAAATCGAAAAAATCAATCGAAGAGACGATAGAATCGATACCTCACGGCGAGATTGAAGATGTAGACAAT